CACCAGATCAGAATTTCTGATTTAATTTGAAAAATTAACTTAACCTTGCTGTCACTTGGATCTGTACCTCCTAACTGGCTACACATGCAGATGGGGTTTGTCTGATTGGATCTAGATGAAGGAACAAGGCCATTAATTTTACAGCCACTTCATGGTATGACTGCATCCAGGTGCCAGTTTCAAACACCTGCCCTTGGCCAGAATGACAATAAATAGAAGCAAAAAGAGAAGATATCTTTATCAACATAAAGCCAGTGGGAATTGTGGTACAGCATGTCAATACCAGAGAATACTACAAATGGATGTTCCAAATTACCTGAAATTCATAATTAGTGTCTGATTTCCCATTTCAAAGTGACTCATGGAAGAGCCTAGGAGGGCGATCAGCAGGCAATAATGTCAGAACAGTTTTCCTTATGTCCTGTTCTCATTCACAACTACAAAACCATTTCAGTAACCTTGGTTGCCTCTTCTGAAAGACTAGATGTACTGAAAATTGTACACGGTTTCCATTATTAGTGAGATATATGCAGATTTTTAGCTGACTGTTAAGCTTTTGGCTAGATGAAAGAACATTTAAGGTTATTCTCATACCTTATACCAATAAATATTGTTAAATACCAAATCACATAGGATATTAATTGGTTATCTAAATGGTTAGTAACTTATCAAAACCTTTAACAACTTAGATAATAAGCTCTTTTAGATGCTTTTTAGATATCTTTTGTGTTTAGGTGCCCACACAATCATCTTCAAAACTTGTTTTTCCTTGCAATGCATGCCTTCTGATCTATTTTAGGAATGTTCTGCCATGGAAGAGGCATCCATCAAGGTCTCAAGACCCTTGCGATGTAATTCCTTGGGAGGCATCCCAGCTCCGTGCAAGGCCTATTGAAACCAAGGGAAGCTTACTGTTGACCTTCACGTGGCTTTGGGTCAGACCATGAAAAGCACTGACTAAAATATTTCTGTGCTTATCAGCTTTCCTCTGGTCTTTAGTTTCATAAATTATTATTTTGACATGATATTACTAAGAAATGTTTAGCCTCTCAAAACATGAAAGGAAGAATCACAATTTGTACTATAGTAAGAGAAAGTATGTTTATTATACTTAAAAGCATCCATTCTCATGAATTTACAGAGACTAGTTAATTTTATCACTACCATTTACTAGGTATAATAACATAAAGTTATCTCTAATCCTCTGCAGAGAAAAAGCCTACAGCTAGAATGGTTTTTTCCACCGTCAGTTTTTTTATGACATGTAGTGCATTACGTTCTACATCCCATGTGCAACAGTTTTCACCATGCAGCTGCTGAGAGCCCAGGTGCAGGTTCTCAGGCACCTGTTTAGGTGCCTAACTCCCACTGAAATCCATAAAATAATTTAGTCACCATAACACTCAGTTTTGGCATGACTAAATCTTAAGGGTTTGGACACCAGGAACCCACAGTCTGAAGTTTAAGCAGTCTAATTCTTTATAGGATGCTCTATGACCGTTAGATCCCGGGAAATAAATTTGCAAATACCAGGATATCATTTGAGGATCGTGAAATGTAGCCAACAGAAAACAGAAAGAGAAGAAAACAGAAATCCAAAAAGTGATAAAACTGGAAACCAGAAATGCTCCTCACAGGAGAACAGAAGAGAGGTGGTTTGATCTTAGATCAAGCTGATATGAATCTATACCAGATCTCACATAGCTAGAGTCTCCAGCTTCACAAGGAGAGGGGTGATAGCAGAGGAGTCAGAAGGAGCACCTGGTTCAGCTTTCCCCATGAGAACAAGCTCTGCATGGGGGGTACCCTGCTGTGGGAGGTGACCTGCTGTGGGGGGTGACCTGCTGTGGTTTGGGAAGTCATCACTGTACCATCCTGCAGGTGGTCACTGGCATGCCGAAGATCTCGGCTACTTTATCCTCACAAAATCATCTGGCCTGCCAATACTGTTGAGAGAGAGAGGGACTGAAATTTGATAGATACTTCTGAAATATCTGAAAGCCCAGTTTCATGTAGTGGCCTGTGCTTTGTTGTTTGCCTACCTGGGCTGTAATAATTAAGAATTACAATTCTCAGTGTAACCTGGATTTTGACGTCTTCCTCTGCATGCAGAATAGCAGGAGAGCACTTGAAAAATTATTTGAGGCTGTGGGACAAAAAAAACCCCTCTTTCTCTCAATGGAAGGAAGCAATATGACAGAGCTGGTTTGTGCTTTGATAAAAAGCTATTGTACCTCTGCCTAAAGAGGAAACGTGGCCCAGATCCAGAAGAGGGCTTACGTGCCTGGCTTGACACTGAGGTGGGACATAGGGCCCTCTGTCCAAAAATGCCATCTCCAACGGTGTCTGTCCAAGTTCTTTTTACATCAAAACTAGCTAAACCTCACTGTACCTAAAATGGTCCTCAGGAGGTGCCCTCTCCCCTAACGGGTTAGCTTCTAGTTTAGTTGTCCCACTTCAATGGATATATCAGGTGGGAGAAATGTGGACCAGCATACCTGCGTCCATGTTTGGATACCAAGGAATATCATAACATTTATATAAGATGCATTAATGTATTACAGACAGTTGCTAATTTAACAGATTCGCAGAAGAGCTTGAAATTTGATTTTATAAAACACTGGTTCTCCTTCCCATTGTTTAGTTACTATGAGCAGTAAGATGTGACCTTAACGAAGACAGCAAGAAGAGTCAAAACTAACATCTACTCCAATGCTGCTCAGAAAACATTAAGAGACATTTTGTTTCTTATTAGCATGTACTTCAGTCCTACAGCACAAGCAGGATGTCAAATGAATCATTTTACACCTTTCTCTTGAAAAATCCACCACAATCAGCACTTTGCTTTTAACAAACTGCATTTTTCTGAGAGAAAGCTGTTCCACCAAAAAAATTTCAACCAGAATATCTCTAGTTTTCTTCACTATAAAAATATGCTTTAGAAAATTTTTAGTGGATCTCCTTAATTTATTTTTTGAAAGAAATAGCCTGAATTTAATTTATTTATTTTTCTTTTAAGGAAGGATCATTCTAAACTCAATTTATTTCTTATTGTTTGGCTGTGGTTTAGTCACAGTCTCCCCTACCTTAAATGGAATTTAAAATATTTCTTTCTACAAAAGAGTTCTGTCAAAAAAATTAATGAAAGTTTTTCTCACTTGCCTTCAAGAGCTCTATTAACATAGTGTTTGTTCACCTTACAATCATTTGTTTAACATAGTTATTACAACAATAACTCACTGAGGTTAGATATGAGGATAATAGCATAGGTTTGAAGAATGCTAAGAGGTGCAAAATCACAAAGGTCTAAGCCTGATGGAATTTTTAAGGTTCTGGGACAAAAGGAATAATGGAGGCCAGTGGGAGTTGGATGGTTTGTTTCATGTTTGCTTGGGTCAAATAGAATAAAGCAGGGAACTCAGCATAGGTCTCATAGGTCCCTTATTTGTCTTATGCCTATTTATCTATTCTTTTTCTAGCTACAGAGATTCTAATATATAAAGACACAATTATTTCACATATATATATTATATGTGTGCGTATTTTCATGTATATTATTAATAACCAAGTGGTTTGTAATTGTTTCATTCAAGTAAATTCTCTTTCAGGAATACTTAACCCCTGGGAAGCTGGGAAGCTGAGAAGCTGGAGGTTGACACAGTGCCCTGGAGACATGCCAGGTATGCTTTCTGCTCATGGTCACCTCTAGAAGAGCATTCTTTTCCCTGCTGACTGGAAGGAGAGCCCTGGGAGCCTCTCCACTCCCTCCAGAGGACGGATCTTACATTGGCAATTGGGACATAAATAAGTTTCTCACTGAAGATTATAAACCTTCCTGATCCTTGTTGATTGCATCTCTTTAATAGCCATGGGGTGCTTTCATTAGTTTTAAATTTAAAAGTCAATGGAGTATTGCCATAAATTCAGGATGTCAAACTAACCACTCTATTTGTCCCTTTCTCTTTCTGAAAAATATGCAATATGTAAGTAGCATTAATGAATTCTTTCAGGATAATTTAAATTTGACTAATTTAAAGGATTATTAAGAAGTCTTATACAGAAAATATAACCCAATGGAGATGCAAAGGGCTTTAGCAACTTGCACTCCCCAGAAAACACCACAGCCTGTAGATCTACAAAGAAGCCATGATGTATGCTAGAAATGCAGGTGATGACAGCGTGGCTGTGTGGCAAGAGTGTGGGGGTCCGGAGCAGATGCTCCAGGGCTTTGCCTTTGTCACTTGACTGAGTTGGAAGGAAGTTCACCCTCCTATTCACATTCACTCTGACAGAAACCACAGACGAATATTTACAAAAATTGGCTGAAGTAATTGAATTTACAGAGGACAACTGAACACTTATTTTCAGCCATTCATTCTCATGCTGGCTGGGTTTTCTACGCTACTTGCCAGGAGAAAAGCAGCCCAGAACACCCATTTCACACAACTTTAAGGACAAAGTCTTTTCTCATGACAAAGTTTGATGTGTGGCTGTCTGACAGCTCCAGGACATGACGGAGCCTCAGAAATCAATCTTTGATTTTAATGTGGTTAGGTCTGATATCACATAATACAAAGCCTCTCCATCTGATCTCAACAGCCTGCTTTGTTTTACTTGCCCACACACAGGCACGAATAGAGTTCCCAGACAAATTGCTGGGCACTACTGGTATACCTAATCTGGTCTGACTGATGTGCTAATCAGGCTCTAGCAGATTTCCTGGTGTTTTATCCAGCTGGAACGGATAATATTGAGGAACTGTCTTCCAGAATGCCTGGTATTAGCCATTGGCTTCCTTCCCTACCACTGGTTGCCTGTGAGCCTCACAAGACCTTGTTGAGCCAGGAAGAATTGGCCATGTTCCATGGTCATCTGGACTGGGGGACAGCAAAGACTGGTTAAGCAGTCAGCTCTGCTGGTACCAAGTACTCGGAACCGGTGCAGTCAGACAGTGTCTATTAATAGGATAAATGAGGATCTTGCACAAGGCACGGGCTTACCTCTGAAGAAGTTAAATTCATATCTCACCAAATGACAATGCCTGCAGCTCCCAGGGTACTCTCTCCGATAGTGTTAATAAGATCTTGCTACAGTGAAAAGAATAAAGATATCACTGTCAGGCTAATTCAGCATTTCACAGCCTTTCTAAAGTAATCCAATGGTTTGTTATGTGGCTGTCCCTCGGACTACATTTTCTTTTCATTCTGGTCCCTATGAACTACATTTTATTGTGGCTAAAGATTTGCTGTCTAGAGTACAAAGATTATTAATCATAAGTTGCAAACTTAAGTACTGCCTGAGATGTTGGTAATAAGCAAGTGAACAAACACTGGGATACAATTTACTTTGATGCAAAATTTAATTGTAATTATTTGATATCTCATCAATTACTAGAAGCAACTAAAATCTTTTCATTAAAGTGGGGTTTTAACATGAGAATTCCCCAAAGCATTCCCTCAGTTCTGTTTTTGCTGATAAAGGGAAGGAGAGAGCCATTCTGCTATATCAATCCACTGTTTTCCCCATCCCTCTCCAGTTTGAAAGCTGTGATTCCAAAGGCATGCATTGTTCTTGCTGTTTTCCCTAGGAGCTCACTCAGCTTCTTGTAAAAACCTTAGAAAAAGTGACTGTAAATAGTAGGGAAAATGCTGGCATTGTGCAACCTTAAATGAAAGGGAAAATGCAATACACTGCAAATCTTAAGAATTTCAGTTTCAGTTTTTGTGCTCTTTCTATGTTTGTTTCAGAGAGATGTCTTTCACAGTACCCTTTCCTCATATCGCAGCCTTTAAGGGGAGGGTATTTGGTGCTTGGATGTTTATGCTTAATTTGAACAGTGATTAAGGATCAGCAACAAGTGACTTACTGTGCCACAAGCACTGAAGATGAAAGACCACTGATATGCAAGTGACTCCCTAGACTCATCATCCATTTAAGGGAGATTGAGGGCCACAGCACATCAAGAAACAAAGTAGAAAAACTTCACAGGAATTGGTTGCCCAAGGCAGAAATGAGGCGGAAACTGGTTATAAAATGGCAAAGGGGATGCACACCAGCCTGCAGCAGTTATTGATGTCCATCTATCCTCTTCTTGCAAAGCTAAGGAAGGGCAAGCTGGATAAAAGCACCAAAGCAGGTGCCTACACCTCCTTTAATGCCTAAGAACAGGCATTTACCTTCAAGCCCAAGAGAAGCGCAGCCCCTTACTGGGAAGTGTAGTGGGTGATGGCAGTGCTAGGGGAGTAGTGGGACCTGATAGGAGAGGGAGCTAATGCTCCTTCCCAGACAAGGTGCCAGCTTCAGACTCTGTACCTGGGCTCAAAGACTGAACATAGCCTTTAAAAAGTGAATACAGTTCACTTGCTAAACTCTGAAACACAGAATTTGAGACCTGCTGGTAGCACAGTCACTGTCTACAGGGGAGAACTAAGCCAGGGCTGTGACAGACAGGTTATGCTGCTTTTTCACAGGAAACCTGTTGTCTTCACCCACTTTCTGGAAGGATGTCCAAAATTACATAAGGAAGGACTAGGGTAGGACACTTCTCTTGAAAATATTTGTGTGTGTGTGTTCAGCTGATGTGAGCAGTACTCCTTGGTTCTGGTGCACCGTTTGCCTGCTCCAAGGTAGGTATGGGACTAAATTAAATGTTTTTGAGACGGAGGCATGCAGAAAGACTGCTGGCTTCAATTTCCCATTCTGATGTAACGCCGAGCAAGTTGCTAACATCTCTGCCTCAGTTTCCCTTCTATAAAAGGGGCAGCTGTCTGGGGATTAGTTAGCGATTGCATATCTGAGCAGAAGAAAGTACATGAGGGAGGATTAATGTATTAACCACCTCCTACGTACTACATCAAATTGCTGAAATCCTTTTAATCCACTCAAATTGATGTTTGAGTATAGCATGGTGATGAACTAAAACAAAAAAAATAGGTATTTGAGACGGCATTTTTTCTTCAGAACATTGAGCTCCTTAAAGCATGTGGACAATTAACATAACCAGCAGAGCTGGCCCATGTAGGAGGTTTTCCATCCTGATGCACCGTCTGTAAGAATGGTTAAAGCATAATTGCAGTCCACATTGTTCCAGCAAAAGCTTACCATAGAGAGAAATAGTAAAAGTTCATCTCTATGACCTAGTCAAGTATACACAAGTAAGGACAAAGCATAATCTTGGGATGTGATGGAGGAAATCTGTATGGATTCATGCGCCCTTAACTGAGAAAAGTGCAAAATGTTTTGACTGTTTCCAAGAGATTTCTTAATGCCAATGGAAGGATAGAGGGCTGCACTGCTATCCCAGAGCCAGGAAAGTTCATTGTTCCTCAAAACTTCACTCTTTGGGCAAGAACCAGTGTAGTTCTGATCATGGAAATTGTAATTGTGACAGTCAGGGTATAAACAGTATCCCCATAGGCCCTTTGGTCTGCTTTTCATTCCTAAAGCAATTGTTTCCTTCATAAAAGTTTTTGCACTTTCTTCAAAGGAAAGTCTGGCTAAATGTTCAACATCATTTGCTGAAATATTCCCTTCCATTTTCGTTACGACTTTCCTGGACTTTCTTCAGTAGACATCTTTTGCATCCCAGTTGCAGGCCTACTGAGGCCTCCAGTGCTCCCAGTCTATGACAGCTAATCACTGAAGTCCGTAGCTGGGGTGTAATAGTTAATGTCACGGCCAGCTTTTTCCAGATGAGTTTGCAAACTGAAGTCCTGGGGCAGGCCACCATTAACAGGGACTTCCTGTGATGTGTAGCAAGGGTAACAGCCGAGCCTAACAAAAGAAAATATGGTCACATTCTGCCCTCTTGCTTTAGCTAATGGGTTTCCAATCGCATGGAACATTTCCAGGTTCAGTATGATGTCGTACCTCAGGAAGCACAGGTCTGTCAGTCGTTCCAGGTGGCTATGAAAGCCTTCCTCTCCCAATCCGGTGGTTGGGCTGGTTTCATAGTAAGGGAGGTCCAAATGAATGCGATGTGCAGCCATGCCATGGGCTGAAAGCTGAATGATGCATTACATCAGCTTTATTTTCATTACTTAAGAGACAACATTAGACGGATGTCCCAGTTTGTCTGTAGAACATAACAGCAGAGGCATTAGTATGTATTCCATATATAGCTATATGAATTGGTATCAGCCACTTCTAAGGTATCTACCATGCTAACTCTGAAAAAAACAAAGTGGGCACCATCTAACCCAAAGAAAGGGGTCAGACTCCCAGCTGAAGGAAATCGGTGTAAGTCTGTGGAAATCAGCATAACCACAGCTGCTTGTCTCATCAATCCAGGTCTTACTGAAATCACTGCGGGTGTTGCTATCACTCCACTGGGCCCCAGCGTGTCTTAGTGGCTGTGGCTGTTGCAGTTGGAAAGGTTGATGAAGAAATGGTTTCCTTATTCTTCAAGCTTTCTCAGTAATAACAAAGGTAACTATAAAATCAAACCCTGGCTTTTATCACCATCCCTGACCTGTCTAGTACAGTGCCAGACAGAGATACTCCGAATAGCTCTAAACAAGCACACATATTTCATTGTCATTTTGCAGTACCGTAAAGGGATACAAGATCAAACCTCTGACAGCAATAAAGCAGATCCATGAAAGCTTGCTCTGAGCTATTTATTAGCCTGGCTGCACTATCACACGGAGCTAGTGCCTTCCAGAGCAGCTCTGATAGCTCTGCACAGCACTGCATTGTGCAATGTGGACTTTCATGCTAAGGCCTGTGGCCACTGCTACGAGCAGAATCATTAGTCACAAGGTCCCTGCCAATTATGTGTGTGTTAAGCAGAAAAGAAACCAGATATACAGCAAAACCTACATACTTACATATAAGAGAGAGTGAGTCTTATCCATCCTCCAACTCCAGGCTCCCCGCTGCATTCAAAACCCTGGGGAAATCCCGTATAGCTGTACAATCAGCCATCAGGGATGAGCATGGATTTGTATTTTGTAGTTCTTCTTCCTCAGTCCTGGCCTGTTTATCTCTCCCGGGATTGTGACCTGCTGGAGGTGAGGATTATGGGTTTCATATGGGCAGCCAGATTGTTAAATATACTAATGGGAATAGCGCATCTATGTTATCCTTCCTTTATCTCAAAACAGAAAAACAATCAGTCATAGCTATGTACCTGGGGTACTTTTCTGGACCTCCTCACTCCCCCATTTCTTTGCTGGTTTAGGGTAGGACTAGCATGACCTAATTTCAGGTACCTGCAGCAAAAATATCAACATCCAGGGTAGCCAACCTGGGTACTTTTAGTAAGCCATGGATGCTTTTAGGATAGAGTCATCTCACAGTTTGAGACATCAGGGCACTCTGAAGTGTCCAAGATGTGCCTGTTCCTCCTGCTGACCAGGCAGGCAGGCCACAGGACCAATGCAGTACAGTGTAAACACTGCAGAACTCAACATTTCATGAGAGAAGTCTCGCCCATGAGACTCACGATGCTTTGCGTTTAGTGAAGAGGAGGCCCAGGTTTTCAAAACCACTAACCACATATCCACAAGTGCCATATTGGCGTTAATGGGCCTTTTGGAAAATGGTGTTAATGAAAATTAACCCCATTTGCTGAGTATCTCTCAGAAAGAGTATACCATACCAAGAAATCAAACTCAGCAAAGCCATCAGGGCTTGTCAGCATTAGAGGTCAGACTGAATTTTCTCACTAGAAAGCTGTACAGCCAAAGCTGGAGGATGGTGGGCTGGCTCTTGGGAGGAGACAACCAAACAAAGGAACAAAGGACTGGCTTTAGAGAGTCAGGCTTGCTGCCCACTCTCCCCCAGAGGGATGGAGAGAAGGGACGGGGGGTCTTGCCAGCCCAGCAGTTCTGCCCCTTACTCCAGCCCCTGCCTGGGATCAGCATGTGCTTCTGGCTTTCCAGGAGGGCTGCAGGGAGGCTGCAGCAGCGGTGCCCAGCAGTATGCTCTGCTTTGCCTACAACCAACTGGGAAATGCAGACACCTTGCTGTGCCGGTGCATGATCGCTGAGCGCTGCTCTCGCAGTTCACAGAGAACCAGAGCTGTAAGAAAATCCTGCCAGAGGGCAGCAAATCCCCACAATTATTTTTTTTAAATAGCAGCATGTGATTCTAAATTGCAGCATGTTGAGGTCCCCCTGTGAGAGTTGTGCCACCATCCTGCCCCTCTGCTCCTGCTCCTGTCACAGTCTGGATGGGGAGGTGTCACTAGCTGGGCTGGGCACATCCCTCACGTGTTTTACCCAAGGTTTCAGGGAGCACTTCCCACACCGGACCTGTGTCATTTGGCACAAAGCACCAGCAGCGTGCTCAGCGGCCACCCATGCCCTGGGGCACCCCGTGGCATCGCCCAGTGCACCACAAACCCTGGGGCAGCCAGGCCCAGCGCTGCCCAGCCAGGCTGCACCAAAACCCACGGGGGTCGCCGGGGGCTGCTCTAGCTAGGGTCTGCCCACTGGTGGGAAGTGGGGAGGCTGAGCACTGTCCCGCGCCGTGGGTCTGCACGTCCCTCCTCGGGCAGGGCTGAGGTGTAAGTAGCCCTACGCTTTACTGTGTGCTGGATATACTGATTTGCTGCCCCAAGGCCCTCTAAGCTGACACATGGGAAAGGCAGTATCAGCAAGCTGAAAATAATAATGAAGAGTAATGAATAATAAATAATGATGATAATAATAACAACAACAACAACAACAACAACAGTAATAATATAGGTTATTGAAGACTGCAGGGAAGTGACAGACCACCCTGCCCCTCTGAGAAAAACCTGTCATGAGGGACTTAACACAGAAAGATATTTGTAGTTGCTCTATTATTAAGGAGAAAACAGTTACCACTTTATATTCTGTGTGAGGGAAAATCACTGAGGTTTACTGACTTCTGATTTTATTCCACTTGATGCATATAGCCATCACACAAGCACACACATGCTCCAGCTGGGAGCAGGCTCTGAAGTCACTTGTTTGCAGCATGCAGGAAGGATGCGCCCAAGCTCTGCTCAATATTTTTCCCTTTACCCAGGCTTTTCAAATATGCTTCCAGTTGTGCAGCATAGCACCATGCTAAAAAAGTCTCTGCGTCTGTTTGCTAGGTATTTCTTTCATTTGTATCTGTCATAGTTGACAAAAAGCAGAACGAATGTATCCAGTTACACCTCTTCTGCTGATTTTTCTCTGTAAACCAAGGCAACACGGAGGCAACCCATCTTGGTGTCCAGCTGACCGTGAAAATGCACAGTGGGCAGAAATTCCCAACAGGAAGAAAGTAGAAACCGTATGTCTTTATCAGACAGCAAACAGCTCTAGCTAAGACTAAGCAAAATCAGCTTAAAACAGGGAGTTCTGAATTGAATAGACATAGAGAGTACTCGAATCAGATCACAGGATACTGCTGAAAAAAAATAGCTGGCTAAATGGTAAGAAAAAGACTAAGCATTCATCAGATGATATAAACCCTGTATCCCTCTCCCCCAATTAATCTAGAGCTGAGGAATGTACTTTCAAGCTTTGGCATTTATCTTGTAACAAAAATCCTTCTCCAGTGACATTACACTATTCATATCAAGGGATTAGAAAAATGACAAATGACAAATAAAGACAATGATCTTTTCTCCTTTCTGGTTAACATTGTTACAACAATATTACATTGACGCAGCACAACCTTGATGGGCTTAAAACAGGCTGTCTCAACAGGCAAGCCAATAGCCAAATACCCTTATCAAAGAGACGTGCATGGTTTTTGAAACAAGAATTTTCACACCCACAGAGATCCAATAAAATCCGTGGATTTTTACAGAATAATCCTTTTGTTGACTTTTTATCAGCAAAGCTAAAGCTGATACACTCAGAAGTCTGATGAGATGGAACAAGTTTTGTCCAGTTGAAGTCATGCTGTCAGCAGCAAATCTTGCTCTCTGTGCCAGATCTGGATTTGGAGGCAACGTGCTTGGAGCCTGGTGACAGGAGATGACCCTAAGAGCCGCAGAGCTTGCAGCAGCCTCAGGGAGGACAGTATGCGAGGATGCATTGCTCTACCTTCCCTTGTATGGATGGGGGCTTATTAGACCAGGGCATCCTTTAGCGATTTGCCTCAATGACATTTTGCAAAGTATCTCTGTTACGTTAGTAAATGCAGGGGACTGAATATGCAGCATAATGAATAATAAAAATGGAGCAGGACTTCACCTCACAATTATCTGACTGACCCAGTGACATTGGTGGCTTATTATAGCTGAGATTCAAACCCCTTTAGTACAGTACTTCACTGATCCCAGCGAAGTTGCTAGGAATCCTGAGCAGCATGAACTGTCAAGGGACATTTTATAGTGTTTCAAATTTAAGGCAGGGCATCCTCAAAATCTTACAAGTTGAAGTATGAATCTGTTGCGGCAGAGCTATTTCTCATAGCAACTGTAAGGAATAAGCTGAATAAAGCATCAAAAACTATAATTCAGCATTTTAACACATGTGGCCGGTTGGAAGGCAGGTACTGATAGCAATTTTGTAGTAAAATTTAACTTATTATGATGAAAGATTGGGACTGTTGGACAGAGAAGAGCAGATTTTAGCAGACGAGCTACAAGTCTGTGTGGGGCTCATCCGGACAGTCATCTGGCCTTTGTCATCTCAGTTCCTTTTGCCACCATAGTGGACTTTTCTTATTATGTACACGAGACCACTTGCATTCTGGTGGCCTACTAGATAGCTGGACTTCTGAATATGGAAAATGAAGAAAATTGATCAACTGCCCTTATGCAATTTACTTTTCCTCCATTTCATGCTGCACAGATGTCACTCATCTGTAGACAATTACACCTGACAGTTGCCCAGCCTGGGAGATTAGACTCATGTTTAGTCCTAGCAAAAAGGCATATGGTTTGATGGATTGATTTAATGGCCCACTGGAATATCCATAAAATCAGTCTTTATGCTTAACTTGTACTTCTGTGATGCTCTTGATGCCAGTGACTGGGTCATTTTCTGGCATACACTGAAATGATGACAAAGCTTCTTTGGC